TCACTATAAAGCAGCTTCATGCGTGTTCAAGTATGTTCTGAGCTTGCACCAAAAGTTGCTACCAGTTGGTTGCCTACTGTGGTGAATAACGAATCTTGCCTTCCACACAATCCCAAAACAGCAGCACAAACTCAAAATACATCTCACTGATAGTTGTGATCAGATCAATATTTTTAGAGTATGGGTAATAGTTGAAAAAACGAGCAGGGGAATTTGCATTTCGAGCACATTATTCACAGGTTTCTACTCATCTCTGTTCTTATCTCGAGCCTCACTGCAGCCATGAAAAAAACTAAACAGTTGCCAGAGCAAACTCAATACTTCACTACAGCTGCAGATTCCCAGGGAAGACTGGTAAACAGTAATTCAGAGAAATTTGCTGGCCCAGTACTGATTTTCTCACTGAGGATCTGCGAATAAACTTGTAAGGAAGCCATAGTCCCACAGAATGTAATCTGAAAGCCCCTGTAATCAATCATAGTAGTAGCACAGATGAAACTAGTTTACTACTAGAAACTCCTAGAAGAAATGTTATAAGAATGTCTGGATTTCATTCCTTCATTTTTCTTCCTTGCCCATCACCACTTCCCATTGCGATCGTTCGCCGTTTCTGATGCTGACAGTCAAAGTAATTTGGCACTTTGCTGTCTCCCGCACATCAGTGCTCCATTCATCGTTTCATTCGATACTTCATTGTTATGTGTTTTGTTATTTTCCTTCTTCTGGGCCATGCGTCGTCTTCCACCATCACAGCATTTGTTCCATCGTCTTCCTGCCTCCTGTTATAATCAGATGATGTTTGGCTAACCAAGCTAGATGTGTGGGTGGGGAACAAAGAAAGTCCCCAATAATCAGTAAGTATGATCCCGTTCTGTGTGCTTGGAAAAGGTACAATACTGCCTTACTAAGGGTATTTGTGCTGTTTGCTGTGGGCTGTGTGAGCGGGCTCTGACCCCCACCTTTCCTGCCTTCCTCTGGCTGCAGAGCATCAGCCAGAGCCTTGCGGAAGCCCATTCTAAACTGACCAGATTCCAACAGTTCAGACCGTTGGGCCGCGTCCCTCTGAAATCTCCCTCTGGTTCAAGTAACAGCAGCACTTGAGAGCTGAGGGACTGAATGCCTGGGTATAAAGTTCTTTCCTTGCATTGCTAGACCAAGCATAACATGGCTTTGCTTGGAGGCTCTTCACATGATCGGGGCCAGTGGACCCCAAGCTGGCTTCTGGTGTGCAAAGGCACATTCAAAACTTCTGTGTTTGGCCTTTCTGCCTGTATTCAGCCTGGGATAGATCATGCCCATTGGTGGGGAAGAATGAAATACAACACTACTTGGAGATACACCTAGACGACTGAATAAAAGGATCAGTGAGGAAAACCTGGATAATTCTACAGGAAAAGGCTTTTTTGAGCTGGTTGACACAACCACTCTGCTTTTCCTTCCCCTGCTTGCTGCAATCTATGCTTGAATCAAATGGGTCAACCAAATTGTTATCCACATCCTGTTGCTCACCACCAGAAAATGAATGGACCGTTGCAAGCACTGTGACAAACAATGTAGAGGTCCAGTTCATCAAGAGGCACAGATCACCAGATGCTGAGGAAAGGCTAACAGTGAAATCCTAAACTGAATTACACCCTTCTAAACCCATTGGCTTCACTGGACTTAGAAGGATATAGCTCTGTTTAGCATTGCAGTGTAAGAGTTTGGGTGGTTATGTCAACTGGCTCTTTGTTGCTGACTAGCTGATAATGAAATCAGCTAGTTCTAAACAACAGTCACAGACCTTATCAAAGAGCTGTCAGGTGTACTCCAAGCCAAAATTGAGGTTCAATTGCAGAACAACAACATTTGCATGTGAAGGATCCCAGGTTCAATCCCCAGCTTCTCCCAGTGAACAATTTGCAGCCAGTCGGGACTGAAATAGATGACCCAACAGTCTGAATCTGTGTTCAGCTAAGCTAACTGAGTAGAATCCTTATGGTATTAAATGCCAAAGTCATAGACTACACATAAAGGTATTTGTCCTATAAACTGTAAATGTATTAATGAAAGCACATTGTAACAGTTCACTGATAAGTGGATTTTTTCCCTACCTGTGCAAACATAATTTCAATAATCTAATGACTGTGGACCTCTGCTCCAGACAACAAAGGCAAGAAGAGACAGAAAAAGAAAACCTGCTGGATCAGCTCTCAAGGTATTTTAAGTTAATAAACCTTTTACAATATGGGGAATTGGGCAAAAATAGGTAATAATAGGGGCTGTGGCTCAGAGGCATAGCATCTGTTTGCATGCAGAAGGTCCCAGGTTCAATCCCCAGCATCTTCAGTTAAAAGGACCAGGCAGCAGGGGATGTGGAAGACCTCTGCCTGAGACCTTGGAGAGCTGCTGACAGTCAGACAATACGGACTTTGATGGACCAATGGTCTGACTCAGGATCAGGCAGCTTCATGTGTACTATTTGCCTGCGTCAACAGAGTGGGAAAGGCCTGTACTACTGAGGTCTCATACCTGAATACATTCCTAGCACATTGGTCCTGAGTGAGAGACCTTTTTGTGCAGTAGTGTGCCAGGTGCATGCTGCTGAGCATGGAAGATCTCCTCTTTGAAACACTGACAGTGCTGATCTGACCTGGCCAGAGGCAAGGAAGGACTGACTGGAAATAATCTTCCCAGCAGAAGGCTAGAAGTGTCAGAGCTGAGAGCATCCACTCCCTAAATAGTGGTGCTCATGCAGTGTAGAAGCATCACACACCTTTCCCTGAGAGTTGGGTTTCTACCTCCCCTACACAGCCCTCTTTTGTCCATCAAGAGTGTGTCTGAAAGAGTGATGTACACGTGCACAAGCACCCTTGCTAGCTTGGGAAAGATTTGTAGAAGTAAGTTCCATTGAGTGCCATAAAAATTGGGTTCGGGGGTAGCAGCCAAAGTGAGACTTTTATCATTGTTCAGATTCCATGATCTGTGGGCAGATAGTGCTGAAAATACTTGGCAAGTGTGAAATAGCTTCAAGTTGCATATGTGGCATCACATACTTCTGGCACTGTGGGCACATGTGTCAATGGGGCAATCCACAACTACATTTTGGATTAAGGTTCTCTCAGAAGAACTTAATTTCCTGGGTTGGTTCATGCATTACAAGGAAGCACATTTAGTGGTGTATTCCATTCTGTACATGGAACATGGAATCTTTCTACATTTTACTCAGTTCCTACAGCCCCATCCAGCCCCTTGGAAAGATCATTCTCAGGGTCAAGGGACTTGTGCTGAGGAATAAGTGGGGTAAGGAAGAACAAATGGTTTCCTCTTCTACCTGTGGTCTATTTCATCCCCTTTACTTTCCTCACCCTGACCCATCAACACACATGGATCCTGCAACTCCTGGAAAAATCTTTCCAGGAACTGGGAGGGGCTGCTGGAATGGGGAGGAATGTGGACAACATCCATGCATGGATATTTGGGTACATACCAGTGTTTTCCCTATGGACATTCTGCAGAGAAACAGCTGATGACAGTTTCCTAATCCTGCTACCTGTGGAATACAGGTATTTGCCACATACATACACTACACATTTATATGTAGATGTAAAATCTTTCGTTTGTACACAAAACTTGAAACGTAGGTTCAGAGAGTTTAAGGCAAGTTTCCACCAAAAGCTCTTAATGGAATTTACCTCCAGTGGAACTGGTTCTCCGGGGGAAAAAGCTGACACTAAATCTACCTACTCTCCAGTAACTGTGAGAAACACATAAACAGAGAAAATGTAAGGAATTTTAAGTGGAGAGAGTGAAATGGGATCCAGTACTGTAAAGACTTTAAAAGATCCCATATGGGAAGCAAATCATTCCACTGTGACATAACATAGACAGAAATACAGTTTTTGCCACCTGGACAACCTTATGGAAATCTGAAACAGGAGGGGAAAACAACAAAAATAAATGGGTGGACAAGGAAAGTGGGAATGCGTATGCACTAAGATTGTGCATTGGTGGTGTCTCAGAGAGAAAGTTACCAGGGGCACTTTCAGCTTCCTGAGTAATACATGTCCACTGCCTCCTCCATTCATTGCCAATCCCAATGTGAAAAGAAAGACATGGGTGACCCAAACCTGGGATATCTTTAACTTGGATGGAGACAATTTTGTGTATCCATGGGCAATGGAGCGATGGAGAAGCTAATTGGTGACCAGGAGAATTATACTTACTATGTAGGAACACTGCCATCTGTTTTGTTCCCACCTCTAGCACCAGTAAGAACACCCAAATGGAGGGGGGGCAACTGTTTACATATGTCATAAATTTGAGCCAAAGCTAAGATTTATAAACTGTTTGATAGGACACACTGGTGTGAATTGAGTCACATTGTTCCTTTGATGGAACAACATTTCCATTTGCAGAAGATAGGGCAGCAATTTCCTCCAGTTCCCCCCCTCCACAGCAGGCTACTATGCTGTTCCTGAGAATTCGTTGACCCCACCGCCTGAAACAAAATTTCAGAGGCTACATGGGTCACAACAGGAGAAGGACAGGGGAAAGCCCTGTTTTGCAAAGTCCACAAATATTTTCATTATTGAGCATATCTTGATGTAGTGTAACCAGTTTGGTTTAGTGGTCAGGAGTGCAGAGTCTAATCTGGGAGAACCGGGTTTGATTCCCCCACTCCTCCACATGCAGCTGCTGGTGTGACCTTGGGTCAGTTACAAGTTCTTTCAGAGCTATTCTCTCACGAGCAGTTCTCGAAAGAGCTCTCTCAGCCCCCCCTACCTCACAGGGTGTCTATTGTGGGGAGGGATGGGGAGGGGAAAGGAGATTGTAAACCGCTCTGAGGCTTCTTCGGATAGTGAAGGGCGGGGTATAAATCCAATCTCTTCTCTCTTCTTCTCTCTCTTGATTGAGATCTCATCTATGTATCTAGTACACTTTTATTCCAATCATTCTCAGGAAACTCAGGCAGTGCACCTGGTGTTCCTTTCCCTGTTCTATATTATTTTCACAATAACCCTGTGAGGTAGGCTTGATTACTCAGAGAGTGACTGGCCCATGGTCACCTAGCAACCTTCATGGCAGTGACAATTTAAACTTTGATCTCCCAAATCCTAATATGTCACACTAACTACTATACAATACTGGCTTCCTATCTCTATCGATACCCAGTAGAGGGCAGCCATAGATCCACTTTTAATGGAGTCCTCTGGGCTTCTCCTCTGGAGACCTTAGCATGTGCCCTATTACCTTTTCTGAGAACAAATCTGCTTTTCCCCCAAAATGAGCTTTGCTTGCCAAATCTTCTGCAGACATAATTGGCACAACCAGGGTGGCCTGTGGAGAATGTACTTATTAGTTATGTGACCTGCATAGCCCAGGCTAGCCTGATCTCGTCAGATCTTGGAAGCGAAGCAGGGGCAGCCTCAGCTGGTATTTGGATGTGCAACCTCTAAGGGATACCATGGGGGAAGGGGTGATGCAGAGGCAGGAAATGACAAACCACCTCTGAAATGTCTCTTGCCTTAAAAACAAGTCTAGCTCGCCACCTAGTGGTGCATAGTGCTAAAAGAGATAGAACTTCTGACTGCCTGAGAATCTTAGGATCTCCTGGCTATACTACACACACTGCCATACGATAATTATTAATATGCGAATACTTCACTACTAAGGAAGTACTCATACAATCAATTTAATACATATTGAAAAGAACGACATTGGACTGGGTAGAAGATCTTGGGAAACATCTAAAATATTTGTCCTTAAGATGGTGCCGTCGGGGGGGTTGTGCTGGAGAAAAGCTGTAGGAACAAAAAGCCCAAACATGAAATAACCCTAAGATACATGTTCTTGTTTTAGCAACGGACTCGCCAGACGCCATGCTGAGTACGAGAGGCATGCCGATGGCACCTATACCAGTGACATCAGCTCTTACTTGGAAGAGCAAGCAGCCAAGGAGTTCATTGCTTGGCTAATGAGCGGACGAGGAAGAAGAGAGTAAGAACCCGTCTGTTGCTATCCTTGAGCATTCCTGAGCTTTTTTCTGGTAGGGGGGATTTTACCAATCAAAGCCTAATGGAGCTGTGATGTATTTCCTCCACCTCACCCCCACACTGTATTTCATACTTCTCAATTGTAACTGAAAATGTTGTCATGGGCATGATATGACTCAACAGCCAATTAAAATGTAACTCTTTGCAAGTTTATTGTGCTGTCGTTTGCTTGAATATGTGAAATTCCTCCATTAAGTTGAAGTCATACTGAAGGTCAATGTGCTCTTATCCTGCATTTAATGATTGCCTGTTTTCCTCCCTGCCCCGCCCAGGTCACCTTCTTCCATCATCTTGGCCAACCAAGTTTTGTCATCTCCAATCTCTCTCTCTCATTTCCTGATCTGCACCATGATCCTTGTTCACTTTCTTTTTTGCATTTTGCAGTTCTTTAATCTTTTTTTTAAAAGACGTAAATTCCTAGAGACTCCTCCTCTTCGAGCCTCTCCTTCTCTGCTCCTCAGCCTCTTCAAGAAATTGCTGATAAGCCCATCATCACACTGTCACCATCTTTCCCAGGCCCTTCAGAAGATTTTGTTCTACCTTCCCACTCTTGTTCGGAAAGACGTACGATATTTACCCCCCCTCGGCTGCCTCCAAGCATCCCGCAACTCTAGACTGCCAACGCCTCTGTCAGTCACCTGTACTCTATCAGTAACCACCTACATCCTGTTCTCACCACGTTTTTACAACCTCCCTTTCTTTTTTTGCTCTTTGGCCTGTTCTACCCACTGCTGACTTTGATCCATCTCTCACAGCAACCATACATTTGGAACAGCAACTTTCTTTCATCATTTCACCCCCTCCCCGTCAGAGCCCACGCTCACCAGTCTTCAAGCCCCTACATGTTTGCCAGCATGGCTTGGCAGTTGAAAGTTCAACAGGCCTCATCCCATCTGTACGTGTTTGTACCTGTAGACTGTGAGCTCTTTGGAGCAGGGTTCTCATACCTTCTCCCTCAGCTCTATGTTCCTAATCTCTATTGCCAGCTGTAAAGGCAATATGTATGCCATTGGTACTCTATAAAGGTTGATTACGATTACCGTAATAATAATAAAAAGGGATCTGAGAGTCAACAACCTGTGCTGGGATTTAGGAAGGAGACATATCAGTAAAAGCCAAAGGTATAAATAAAAGTGTCTTTTGAAACACCAAATAGCCCCGAATATGATATACACCAGCTTTTGAGACGATTCCACGGGAACAGCTGTAAAGGGATGATAGCCCTTGAAGATGCATTGCTTTAATAATAGTTGTGGGGAAAGAAGCAACTTCATGAAGGTGCGGCGTTTTGCCATTTTTACTGTCTATAACAGATAGCCAGATGTTAGTTTTGAAATACAATCCATGACAGACAATCCAGGTTGGAAGACAATTATGAGACGTCTTTCTTTATGTTCTACTTTCTTTGGCCATCCTAAGAGGCACGCAGAGGGTTAACTTTGAATTACGCAGAAATAGACGTGACAGATTAACAATGCAGTTTTGTTTTTTTAAAAGAAGAAGTTTGGGAAGGGGAATAGAAAGAGGGATCATTGAGAGTAGAGAAATTGTGGAAGCCTCTGCCAACTTTATGGGGTACACAGGTTGGAACTGTGTCCCCCCCACTGTGTCAGACATAACACAATTGCACATGAGTTATGGATTCTCAAGTCCTGTGTGGGTGGTGCCTGATTAGAATTGGGACAGTGGTGCACATGGAAAAGGGGCTTCAGGGAAGGCCGTATTGGGTTGTTGGGAAAACCCACATGATCTCAGGTTTTTCCAAACAGGCCTCCCCTGGAACTGTTCCAGGTTTTAAAAGGTAATGGGGGCGGGCGTGAAGAAGAAGAAAGAAGTCCCATTCCTGCTTGCCATTTAATCTCTGTCCTAATCATCCACTGCATGCAAGGGAACTGAGGAGAACCCCACGACTCACATATCTTTCTGGTCCGTCTGACACAGGGTGGGAATCCCAGGCCCAGTCTGTGTACTCCTTAATGGGTGGAGACGGTTGCATGTAACAAGCTGTTCAGCCCTTGAGAACAGCATTCAGAAAGCATAACAATGCTATGAAATTTACTATATCAATTTTACCTTACAAGTACGTCTCAGATCGGAAGCATGTTGGGTGAGGAATTCAGCAGTCTATTGGCCCCTGTTCTGTTGAGAGGAACTTGTAGGGCTGTAAAGAGGAAGACATTTCTCTCCATAGGTCTGTTTGCTTACATATAATTTGGCTTTGGTATGAGAACATTTAATTCTGAAGTACATTGGATGTAACATGTTTACAATGAATGCTTATACTGTATTTTACTTTGACAGCAGCATTGGGGTTTGATATGTTGTCTCTTCTGTTTCCGACGTTCTTGATTAAAATTCGAAGCAAGGAAATCAGAATTTGTTCTCGGGACATTTTTGTATTGGCATAAATCATTAATCATATGGGGTAGCTGGCACACACAGCCATACTTTCTTGGATAATTTGCAAACATTTGCGTTCATACCATTGTATGAGGTAAATGGGTTTCTCCTTTGGGAATTCAGCTTCCATAGAATATTAAAATGCTACATCTACAATATTTTAAGTAGCATAACAAAAGTTCCCCTGGTATAACTGCTTCAGTACTAAAGATATCTAAATCTCTTCAGTTGTACATATGATCACTGGCCATAAAACATAACCCAATTGGTCTGGAGTCATCCAATCAATTTAAACAAGGTTGCAGAGGACTTTGGTCTATTTACTGGTGGAACTGTGGAGTCACAACAATTAACAACTGCACCTCTATATTGTTTAACACATGAGATGGTCAATATGACTGGCAGAGTTTGGTCATGAACACTGGGACTTTGAAAATATTAATGTGTAATACTTGGTCAAGCAGGAATTAACAATATCAGGCGTCAGGGCTTCTTTTGTAGAAAAAGCCCAGCAGGAACTTATTAGCATAATAGGCCACACCCAACAACAGAAACTAATTAGCCTATTAGGCCACACCCTGACAGTGCAGCACATTAGCATATTAGACCACATCCCCATGCCATCCCTTGGCTTGCTCGGGCGCCCTGCAGCTGCGGGGAGTTCGGGCAAGCCCCCCCTTGAAGGGAAGGGAAGGCAGTTTAAATTGTCTTCTGTTGGCTTGCCCGGGCACCCCACAGCTGCGAGGCACCTGGACAAGCTGGCCCTTGGCCCGGCTGGG